CTGTTGGCCAGTGATTTTTAATCTAATTATCACAAATTTCCTCGTTGAAGTCCTTCGGCCAAGACCAACATAAAAACCTCACTTTTATGAGGCGAACAGAATATATGTAATAGTAGTCCAGTCCAAGTTCAACAATTCTAGGCCCAAAACTTTTTTAGTTTTAATCAGATTTTGACCCCCGACCTTTGCAAATTTAACCAGATGCCAGCATTTCTTAGCCTAAAACTTATTTAATTTTTATCCGATTTATGAGTTGCATACCTTGCTGAATTTGTTATTAAAATATCTATCAAGCCGCATCATTAGTTCATTATGGACAAAAATACTTAATACTTTAACATTTACAGATTACAAATATGAAAATATTTATTTTAAGTGTCAAATACCTTAACTCCCTGACTATAACAAACCTTCTGTTTTCAATAGCATATTTTTATCAGCACCAATCAAATTAATCACTGCAAGGCCTCTAACTACCAAAGGACTAACTTAGTCACATATGCCACTAAGCGGACTTGTTTTTTCGGCCACATTTCACGTGATTGCAGCCCTCCGATCTAATCAAACAATCAAACAGAAATAATCGGGCAAAGCAAAGCCCCACTACAAGTGCCCCGAAATCCAATTGGGACGGCTCACCGATGCTAGCTGCCATAAATTTTATTTATTTATGTGTGCACCGTTTTGTTTTCCGCTTCTCGAGTCTGGGAAAAAGGGAAACGGGAAACGGGAATCGGGGAGTATAGTATATCGGGCCGAAAATCGACCATGAATATCAATGGGGGAATTGTGCGTCACCGGCACGCGCCGCCTTCATCCGATACAGAAAACAGTGACTGTGGCTTAGCCAAGCTTCCAATTCCAACAATCTTGGCCCAGACGGTCGTCCTTCGATGGGTTTCGTTTTTTTTTTTTTGGGGGGGGTTTGGGGTGGTTGTTTTCGGTGGGCCATTGATATTGTTTTTATCAGCCAGACGAGGGACCGAAGACCGAAGAGCTGGCCGCGCGCCTTAAGCACTTGTGCTCCTGATGCGTATTTAATTTTATTTTATTTTGGGATTTCTCCGCATCGAAGGGGAAGTAAATCACGGCACTCCTGGTATTTTTTTTTTCGCAGCTGGGGTGGTCGATCCTGATTCAATATCGATACTATAAGCATATGTGTGCAGATGTGTGTGTGTTTTTTTATACCGGCTTAAACTTGTCCCTTCGACAGGGAAAAAGTGACATCGAGTGCTAAGTGTTGATTGTTCGTCATTTCCACAGAGTCGCAAGATAAATGAGTGTCTACCCTTGGCAAAAGTATCAGTAGCAGTAGCAAAAGCAGCTGAGGCTTTCGTATTAAATTCATGAAAGTTAAGTGCTTGGTAATTGATGTTATAAAATATTTATGACAGACAGCCAGTTCCTCTGGCAGAACAGGTAGGCGAGTCGAGTTCATACCTTTTCAGTCCTTCATTTCTTCAGACGGACTGATGGCCAAAGTTAGATTTGGCCTTAATTGACATTAATTATTTAAAAGGACGTCGTGCGAATCCTTCGACCTAAGTGCCGCTTTTTGCCCTGCGGTGAAGCTCTGAGCACTCCGAATTCTAAAAACCAGCTTTGAATTAGTTGAGCAATTGGAAAAAGTCTGGATTACTACCTACAAAAACTTGCAAGTGCAAAGGGAATTGAAATCATCTGTGAACATACAAAAATAAGTTTGCAAAACAACAATGCATATAATAAGTTAGAAAACTAAAAGGATTATTGGCAAAAAGGCAAGCAAAAGAATAATTAGAATCGCTTAAAATTATGGGAAAATAATTGTTGAAAAAGGATATCTAATATCATTTTATTTTTAATCTTAGTATCAACTATAAATCAAGAAGGTTTGTTAATTGTGGATATTTAAAATGTAGCAAAAACCAATTATAATTATTTTAAATAATTTTTGGAGGTAATATGAAGATATAGTTAAAACCGCCATAGTTTAACTGAGAAAGGAGATTTAATTTGTTGTGGTAAAATATTTTTTTATATTATGTTATTCTTCATACTAGTTGCTCAAAAACCTCGAAGTTTGTGGTTCCTAAAATGGTCCTAATAAATTTGTATTAAATCACAAATAATTTATAATCATATTTATGGTCCAATGATCCCAGTGTACTCCATTCATTTGGACACCCTTGCCAGACCTCAGGTCCTCAGGATTTTGGCTCGGCTCACTTGACCGGGCAAAAGGCATCGGCCAACTGATAATGATGCTGTTGGCGACTTTGTGTTTGCTTATGCCGGTATCCCTGCGATGTCCTGTTGCAAAGTCAGTAGCCCTTGGTCCTTGGTCCTGGCTGCCTTGGTTTTTGCAGGGGCTGGCTTTGATGTTTCGCCAGGATGATGAATTATATTTGACATCTATGTGCTTGGCCCCCTCTTTGCGAGTATTAACATGTGTGTAGCCCGGCACATTGATACTGGTGAATGGTGAGTGGTTCGGTGGTTCGGTGGTTGGGTGGCTGAGGTGGTTTAGGTGTGGGAACGAGTGGCCGTGCATGCGCAGCAAAAAACCACCCAGGGTTCCACCCACACTCGTCTGATGAGAGCCGCACTTGGATATGTTTATTTTACTGTCAAAACATTAAAGTAAATTCCCGCCGAAGCCGCCGGTGGTTCAGGGTTGATTGTTATCGGGGGGCGGTGTCGACAGCGGTGTATCTGTATCTATATAATATAGTATATCCCCTTTGAGGGTGGAAAACGTTGTCAGTCCTTTTGGCCACCTTCAGACAAGTCTATTTGCATATGTTGACGGCGTACTCCAACAGATCCTGGTGGATTTCCTGCTTAACGGCCATGGCCATCACAACAACAACCCCTCGCAAAGGACCTTCACACATGCGGCTGTGTGTGGCATGCCTTTCTGACAACTCATAACAATCACTCATCATAAACAAAGTCGGCTTTTATGTGAGAAAGTTCCCTTTAAAAAAAAAACACGACTATAAGGTGGTAATAGATTGCAGGTGAAGGCTATCTGTCAAAAGGGAGAAATCCCCTCAGCTCACAAGTTAACGACTTGCCAATTAGTTAATTAGCGAACTCCTGCTGCGGCCTTTCGACGTCTTATCCTCTTGATTCCTTCGGCTAGTCACTCATTTATCTATGCAGGCAACCGCCGAAGGGCCAACGAGCATCTTGTGGTCAATTAAAACAATCCGCAAAATAATTGCCAAGAAATTTATTCGCTTCATTAACTTGTTCAGAGAGAAGTCAGACTGGCAGGCAGCAAGTCAGGCAGAAAATTAAGTGAAATAATTAAATCTCAATCGGGATCTATTAGATTTGTGTAGCCTTTGGCATTGGCTTTTGGCCACGGCCCTTGTCAGTTAACCCAGCAGTTGAGAGGGATGAACAGGCAAATAAATTTTTGGCAGGACGGCGGCTAATCTCCCAGCAAGGGGTTAGCTTTTTGGGCGTTAACGATGGGGTTGAAAGGATGGCTTCTGCTTTTGGCCAGCATTCGAAAGTGCAACAATCGCTGGAGAAGAAGAGGAAAGGGATTCTCGACTGACAACGACCATTTATCACCCACGCAGCATCTTTCATAATCAGGCTGGCCGGCAGGCAAAATGCAAATGACTCAGTCTGCGGCGGAGCTGCATATAAAGGACCCGCTGCCGCGGCTTTTAATTTACAACGTCCTACGTATCCTATGGGTTTCTGTATCTTCATATATATGTGTGTGCTATATGTGTCTGTGTGTGTGTGGAACTGGGTCCACGGCCGCCATCTTCGCCACAATGCCAGACAAAAGGTCGACACGTTCCCATTCCGACCGACTTAATTAATTTATGCACTCATGGTCGGTCGCAATGCATCGGGGTTTTCTCGGGGATTCTGGGGGATTGGGGATTGGAAGGGGAAAATGGGAACGGGATGGCCGAGGATGGCCAGTTTAGTCGGTCTTCAGCCCAAAAGGTGGACATCATTTCTGGAGGAGACCCAGGGCAGACCCGGCACTTCTTCTTGAAAACCCGCCTAATTTTAAAATTAATGAGCGGCATCTTGATGGCCGATGGCAGCGATAAGCCCCATGATTTTGACTGTCCCAGAGATCCAGAGAAGCAGAGGGCCCACGTCCCTGCCGCTCGATCACAGCTTAAGTAAATCACGTGTTTATTGGCACTTCACTTACGACACCGTCACCAAAGTATAGAATAAAGGAGACAGCCCGGTTCCAAAACCAAAAAACCAAAAACAAAACCCCAAGTCGAAACCAAAACGAATAAGAAAACCAAAATGGCATCACTCTATAGGGCCTGCACTCTATATTGCCCCGCTCCGATCGGTTGGGATCGAGGTATCGGCGGTATCGGGGGTATCGGGGGGTATCGAGGGTATCGGTGGTATCGAGGGAACCGGGCCGACTGACCAACGTCATTAATTAGCCGGCCGTGAAGTGTGGGGAGCGAATGGAAACCGACGTGTTTATTTGGTTTGTGTGCCCGTTCAACAGCCCAAATGTATTGGGGCTTCATTTAGGAGTTCTTTTGTTTTCAAAACTTTGCCGCTCAGTACAGTGAAGCTACGGATATGGGAAAAAAATAATAAATTTATAAATAGTTGGGTCTTGTTATCAATTATTTATCTTTTGTTTAATTGGATTGCTGTATTAAGAAAATCAGTTACAACTCCATTAGATCATTGCTATAATTTTATAGAAGATAAATATAAATTATTTTATAGAATAGTTATTTGCAATCATACTCTTATTCTGTAAAAATAAATTTTACACGTTTATATTTTTTTAAGAATTTATTTTTTGGGTTATTGTAATAAAAACCATTAAAGTCATTTACAATTTTAACCAAACAGTTTAGAAATTCTTTATACAACCAAATCATATGAAAAATATCAGGACCTTTATTTTAAGTATTTACTGTAGTCAACTCGTTGTGTCATTTATTTTGTTTGACCGGAAACTCTTTATCTTACGGTTAATCTTCTTGATATTTCAGATGTGGAAAGCCCAAATGCCGATGCATTCTTGATTCGTGACATTAAGACAAAAATAAACTTGATTTTGGTATGAAATTGATTCATTCACTTTCAATCCATTGAGTAAGATTCTTATCCGATGGATGAGTCTCTCCAGCCTCATCTCTTCCAACTTCCAACTGTGTGGACATCCAACAGGTAGTCAAACCAGACAAACCGTCTCCAATTCGACGAGGATTGCCTTTCCTCCTCTTCGTTTGCTTTTAAGATTCGTAAGTGTACATAATTTTGAGTAGTTTTATTATTAATGGTTTTCTTTTTATTTCAGGACAGTGAATGATGCAAAACACTTACAAATGCTAACAGGAGAATATTACATGGATATGTGTTGACTATGGACATACAAATAACTTCGCGAATTATATTAATTCTTTGTATACACCTTAATATGGAATTGTAAGGATTGCAATATGTATTTAGTTTGTATGGACCTGTGCTGTGCTTACTAACATGGGATATCGACTTGGTTTGTGTATCATTTTAGTATTAAATGTTTCCAAACTCTTACTAACACTTTTATTTTGCAGACAACCGAAAACATTTAATGGCTGATTTTGAAGGACTGGATAATTTAAAAAAAAATTTTGTTAATAAAAATCTGAATAATATTGTTAACATAATGTACATAAATACAGTTGTAATATGATTATACTTTCAAAAATAGACAAAACAAAAATAAAAATATTTAAACATTTTTCAAGCTCCAAAAATTTGATACCCAAGAAAAAAAAATTAAAAGAAACACTGTAAGGTTACATTTCAACAAAAAAAAAACGTTTTATTTTATTAAAAACAAGGTGGCAATTTTTGGTTAAACCAAATACTATTTAATCGATATTAAAAACCAACTTACCCTTATTGTTAAAAACGATCAGCACTGTTAAATTGAAAGTTAAAAAAATTACTATTAGCTAAGACCTTCAGAAAAAGATTTTATTTATGTAAAGCTTGTTAAAACAGAATATGAAACATAGAAAAATACTTTTAAGACTACCTATAGGCCGATTGGGCTGCTTTAAAGAAGGGTATTGATGAAAAATTATACAAGAATGATGGCAATTATAAAATGTTTTTAAAATGTGGACTTAATGAACACAACTTGACAAACCCTAAAAACCGTAATCAAAAATATTTTTTCTTGGGAGAAATTTAAGGAATTGTTTTAAATAAAAAAAATAAAAATGTTCCAAATGATCATTTTGTTTATTGACTAAAAAAGATTCGAAAAGATACCACAACAATATGCATTTATAATTTGCTTACATTCTGTAAATAAACCTTAACTATTGTGTTTAGGATAGGAACAGTCAAAGGTTCAAAAAATGTATTGCACAGGGAGATGCAATCATTTCTATTTATACACGATCGTTTTAATTTGAAAGCCATCCGCGCACAGAAGTCAAAAGAAGTTTAAGCTTACTACGATACAATTAAATACTCAATAGTTTTTCCATTTATTTATTTTGTGAAATTAAGTAGCAGACGATCACTCATACGCAACCACTGACCAATGAAATTTAGACTCAGCCCTAACGTATGCTACATTTTGTGTATTAAATTCTTTATAGCATACTTATGTGTTTAATTATTGCTTGAAACATAATATCATCTAAACAGCTTGTTTGTATGTATGTTACCAGTTTATGTTCTTTGTAAAAAAAAAAATTTAACAATTAAAAACAATTTAATATCAAATTAAATGTAGCTTAGTATCCGAATTCTGTTCACTTTAAGTGTTTTCTGAAGAAGATTCTATGTTAGCAGATCAACATCTAAAACTTATTTATGTGTAAAACAAATTGTTTTTTCATTTATAATTTTAATGAATTATAAAGATGGGTCCTGCGACTAAGATTATCTAGCTAATCGGAAAAGAAACCACTGGCTTAACATAAATTAATCAAACTTAACTTTATTAGCTATTAACTCGTAATATGTTCTCAAGTTACTTTGAAGACTTTGTTGTGCTTTCATGTGATATGTATCTTAAAGTTAGCATATTTAAATGACAGGTAATTTGTAAGAGAACAATGCTCAATTACCTTAATACCCACAATAAATTTGATCCAGTTATTGTGCATTGTTAAGAGTCATAATATCCCAAGCCAAGCTCGATCGATAAAGGACGGCTGCGAATATATTTATTGTTTTCTGCCAACTACCTGAATACGAATTAGCATCGGGACCATCCCCAACCCGTATATATATATGTTTATATATATAGTCGTATGCGAGAGTAATGTCTTGAGCAGTCGTTGGATCGTGCCCCATAAATCATGCCAAACTTCAGTTTGGGTATAGAAAGTCAAAGTAAACTGCCATCACTTAAAGTCATTCAAGCATTTATTTATGTCAAAACATTGTCCGCTTAGCCGCTGCGAACCTTTTTGGCAAGAAAAAGGAAAGGGGAGGGGGAAGGGAAAAGAGGGTAAGGGAAACATAAACCCGAGGGGTCAGTTGGCCAGTCGAATGTATAACTCAATTAAAGGCGGCTGTGTGCTCACCTCACAGCGGGATATCCTTCGCATTAGCCACTTCTCCGTACCTTTTGGCCCTCTTATGCCTCAGACTCCTCCAAGTTGTCCTTTTTGAATGCTAGACGATGGCACACAGTTTTCCTGCGGCGATCGGGGTCATTGCGGTTTCCAAAGACTGTCGCCCCGAAAAATCTGCAGGATGAGATAACCAGATAGCCGGCTGACTAGACTGCAAAGATGTCATTAGAAACCGGGCACCGATCCTCAATGAAATAGTTTCTTTCTTGGTTTTCGCTGCAGCTTGTCTTTATTATTATCTGGTCGGGGGATTCCTGTGTGGCCCGCATGCGCAATCGGATCGTACTTTTCTTTTCTGCCCACGATCGACCTCCAAGGGCCCTCAACATGATTCTGTTTAACGAGAACAATGTTCTTGCAATTCCAGTCTCTCGGCCACACCGCAACTTCTTCGCTGGCGATCGCCTTTATTCGCGGATTGTGGGGGAGATTGAAGGGGATTCTGGCGGAAATCGGGGGATTCAGGGGCAGGATGAGGGGTAACAACTACACGATGGCAGCGGTCGTGCAAAACTACAGCGACGGGTTGGCAGGTGGCGCCGGCGCCGATTTCAATTTGAATATGAAATGGGAGTCCGACTCAAGGGCTTGCAAATTTGTATTGTCCAATTCGGGTACAAACAGAATACAGATATGAAAGAACTTGCAACATGGCTCGCATTTGAACACTTTGTAATCAGAAAGGAAAAAAATACATACTTGCAAATATGCTGTTTATTTTCTGAGATCAAAGATTTTGTGATTTAGCTTTGTTTGACATTGTGTTGGAAATCAACTCTTGTAAAAACCCCTAAACAAAAATGTACCCTACCATATTACCTTTAAATATTATATCATTAGAATTATTTTTATCTAAGATAGTAATTATAACATAATTTTTTTAGAAGATCAGCTTTGTACAATATAAAAGTTAAATAGAAATAAAATTTCTAAGATAAGGAAGACATTCTAGATAAATAAACTGTAATAGTAGCTCCTCTCCTAAAATGTTTGGCATCGATTTACGTTAATCAATAATTTAAAAGTCATTTTTCTGACTAGCATTCGATACTTTTTGCCTTCCCCGAAAACAACAACAATAAAGATTGAAATATATACAAACGTGAGTCGACACTTCCCTAAATGGCTATATAAATGTCGATCCAGGAAGATGGGGATTAGCAGCAGACGTTTGAAGAGACACGCCCCCCAAATGAGCACAGTAGCGTAGTTAATATGTAATCCCCGACACGTGGAGTAAATTATGTTCCTTGAAGGGCTGCCATTATGAGGAGTGCTCCTTGGACACTCCCCAAAAACAGTGTTGATGCACCATAAAATAGAATCGGGGTGGAAAAATGTGATGTTGATACAAAATATCAGAGCTGACTAGTTTTATTGCATTTTGTGTATATATAAAGGGTACTTAGAAAGTGATCTATGATTATGAGAACCTTAGAAAAAGCAGAAATCTTTAGTTTAAATATTGGTAAATAAGATGAAAGAATACAAACACGAACGCTTTCCTAAACTAAGTACTCAATGAAATTAATCCTAGATGACTTTTAAAAACCAGAATGATCTTAAACTAGTCATGTAAAATTATATACCCCTGCTATAATCTCATTCCCACGTTGTTCGATCTGAAAAGTAGCCGTTGTCACTATCCATAACCCATAAAAATTTTTATGTAACCTACATTTTAAAAAGGGCATGACGAAATCTTAACGTGAGACCTGTCCCTTCGGTCAAGATTCATTGTGAAACTGGCGCCATTCAATGGGATTTCTCCTCGCAGTCCTTTCGTCCTTTTGCCTCCTTCGATAATTGTTTCTTATCGGCGAGACAGTTGTGAATGACAATTTTTTGGGACAATAGCTCGGCTGTGGGTCGTCGTCGCCAGCGGGGGCTATATATGGTTATAATTGCCGGGCGGGACGGGATTACACGACAGGTCGACCTGTCTGCAGCCGCGTATCTGTTACACCGAGTAATGATCGTAATGTCGCACAAGTATCTTTAAGATGCATTCGATACTTCAGTATGAACTACCTGCCCATCTGAATGTTCGATGTTCGATGTCCCTTTTTTTCAACAGCAAAAGGGCTAGTTAATCTCAGCCGACCTCGATAACGTTTTAGTGCTCAATTTTGATTCTACGCCCTTTTGTGGTTTTGGGTCTTTACAACTGTTTATGCCTTTTATGATTTTGTCGTGGCCGTTTCGTTGCTTTTTGGGCTTGGCCATCGTTGTCGTCGTTGGTTGTTGGTTGTCGGCCAGAAACCAAAGGGAACCTGATTCGGAATGGGTCCTTCCTTGCCTACCTCTTACCTCTGTGTGTCGTTTTGGTTGTAATTTAATATCCTAGCTGGCATTGGGACTTTTGTTTAATCATGACAGCCGACCGACTTACTCGAAAAACACACAGTGGTTATCGACGAATGCTATTGGCGTTATGCCGTTCCCTGTTTCACACTTTTGCCTTGGATTCTTGTTTAAGCCCACTGTTTCGTGCGCGGCCATTAAGGTTTTTTCGGAACCCCATCTCCTTCCTAAATGTCCAATTCGATCCAAGACGATCCGATCGAAGGAAGGAGGAGAGAACCTTACCATTTCGGCGCTCATTTAAATATTTTATCATCGCCGCGCTGGCCAGACACTAAAGAGAACTTTATATCTTTTCGGTTCGCTGCGTTTTTATCACTCGAATGAACAAAAACATTTGTTACCAATCAGAGTTCTTAATTTTATGGCCTGTGTTTGCGACAAAAGTGCCGCTTCTTGCTTCTTGCCCCCAGAAGACAACTCGACTCGATTCGACTCGATCGTTTGTCGGCTTTGTCGCAGAAATTAGCCGCGTATTCCTTTAGCGCTTGTATGTGCCCCGGTATCTTAATTGGCTTTGATGCTGCGATGGCTTTTCATAAACGTCAGCACCGGACATCTCCCTCCTCCTTCCATCCAAGTAGTCCACACTCGTATAAAACTGGTATCTGGGAAAGGGAAAACAAACACATGTGCTTAAGAGATAGCTAAATTATTTTAAAGCTCATTTACTTATGTACATCCAGCGACACGGGATCGGGTTACAATAACTCTTCCTCGAGGGTTGAGTGGTTCGGTTAGACTCCTTTTTACTGAGGACTGCGGACTGGTTCAGGGAAATGCATACATGAGCGGAGAAGTCAGTGGGTTATTAAGGAGTTCCTAATTTGGAGTCGGTATATAACCCATTAACAGCCTTTCGACGCGATTTTTTGGTGTTCGAGGGGCAACATTAGCGTCCGATTACTGTAAAGGAAAGACATTAATAAGATTAGTTTGGTTTATGGAAGTAAAAATATAATAAAAGATTTATTTGACATTTTTATGAAAGTGAAAATATAACAAAAGATTTATTAGGCTTTTTTTCGTATATGCTTAAACTTGTATATTAATTTATATTTCCATTTACTCATGCGAAATAAATTCTTTTAAAAGTGTAACCTATATTACAAATGATCAATTTAGTTAAGTTATTACAGTATAGGTTATTATTTATAATTTCTCAGGGTATGATCACGGTTCCTTCAACAAGTTACTTCATGGATGATATAATTTGAAGGTATAATCCCATTCATATTACCACATTTCTTACCTGATGGTCAGCACCTTAATGCAGCAAGCTCACTCACAAACAAAAACAAGCATTTCAATTATTTATGAGGGGCTATTCCTCGCAGTATAAACGAAATATAAACGAAATAAATAGATGCATGCACACAAAGAGAAATTGCAACAATTGACAAATTGCGGGGTATAAATTTTCCCCTTCGAGGCGAAGAGATGTCAACTGTCCCTCGTCCGTGGATAATATGTGGAGCGTAGCCTTTGTCTTTAGAATTATGTTAACTAGCCGAAGAATCGATCGTGCGGGTTTCAAGGGAAGGAAGGAAGGGGAAGGGCAGGGCATAATTTATTCATACGTCAAACAGGCTGTCCATTTAAATGCGAGCATTGCCGGTCTCAGTCCCATTTTATATGGCTATAGCCAGTGCAATGTCAAACGAGAGAAATGAGGATGAGTGGACCGCTGTGGTGGAGGGAAACGCAAATAAAACGCAGCATATTGGGAAAATTTCACGGTCTTTTGGCCGCCAGGCTAACCAACTGGTCAACGGTCGCTTTGCCAGGGGCTAATTTATAGGGCGATTCGGTGGGTGTTTGTCCGTATGTCTGTCCGTTTTGTCCGTATGCCCGTTTGTTTGTCCACTTCCCGTTGCCCCTGTTCATATATTATCCCGCTTCAGATTCAATTTACGGCGGGGGAGTGGAATGGAGTGGAGTAAAGTGGACGGGCGAGTGCGTAAGGGCCAGGTAAATTGAAAAATGGACATTTGTAGTTTGATACCCATTTGGAGTAGAGGACAACGCGAGCGGGCGAGCAGCGTTTTTGTTTCTGGGCAAGTGGTTGATCAGGGTCGACTTTTCGGCTTAGATAAGCTGCTGCCACTGTCGCTGTTACTCCTGCTTTATGCCGTGTTTTCAGTGTTTTCCCCCCTGATATCTCGACAGTGACAGACGGCGAGCAGGGGTTAAAGTTAGGGGTTGCTTTTCGGGTTCGGATGGCTCTGCTGCTGGTTTTCCGACATGCAGATGTGACGGGCGCGGATTTGTTTCGTGTATCTTTGCGACAACTTGATTTTTTGTCAACGCGATGCGATGCGCTTTTCGAAATCAGGGAAATCCTTTTAGGCCTGATGGGTTCGTTTGTCGTTCACCATTCGCCGTTCGCCGTTCGCGAGTGCATTTGACACTTTGTACTTGATGGATTACGTTAATTATTGATTAAATGGGCTTGTACTTGTCAGGACAAAGTAAAATCCATTAGCTATTTGAATATTCACCCGGCGACGCTGCGGCAAAATTAGATTTAAATTTTTTCCGAATTTTATAATTTGACATGAACGGGCGCGCATTTGATGGATGCCTTGGGACATTCAACGGTCAATGAAAAAAAGGAAAAAAATAAAATATGTGAGAAGAGGGTCCGCTGAGGTTGGATACCCCCGGATACTTGCCGCGGTGACATTCCGCTGCTGTCGCCTCCAAGCGCCAGCCCCTCGAAACACACACCTTCGGCTACAGATACAAATATACAGATACTCCCTGCAAATGGGATGCATCTGGATGCGAGGAACGAAGAATCGGTGGACACGCACTAAAAAGCCGGCTGCGGCGATTCAGATTGAGGAGATAAGGCGCGGCGGGCTCTTTCAGAGATGCCGCGTCGTTATTTTTCGGTTGTCGCTTCATCTGCTCTGATTAATTCCCTCTGATGAAATGCCGCTCCCCAGTCGCCAGCCACTTGATGCTGCGCCTTCCCGTACAGTTGCGGCCAGAACTTTAATAGTTATACATCAGCACCTATTTATTGTCAATTGTAAATTATTTCCAATGATTTTGGTTGGATAAAGCTGTACTAATTCACACTTTGTTATAATTAATATAGTAGCAGAGATTTGTTCCTATATTTAGATTATATTAAACCGAATTTTTTAATGTTTTAGTTGTAGAAGTACATTTAAAAAAAACTTAATATTACATTAACAACTAATGACCGCTTTTCTACTATTGGCATCAAACACATAATGGTTTAAATACAGTGTAACATTTGATTGCACATATATTACGTATACGACATGTAAGCTAAAAAGCTGAAGTACCAATATATAGGATTCCGCTACTGATTTTCATTTATTAATTTCTTGAGATTTTCAATCTACTTAGGCCACACCCTATTTTCACACAAGTAACTATTAAATTTTGAATGTAGCTGTAAAAAATATATAAATTATCATTAAATAAACATTTTAATTTTAAAATAAATACCTTTACTATTATTTTGACCTTTGCTGTGTTATGCCGCGGTGGGCACTTGGCATTTCTCAAATGGGGAACTTTGATTTATCGGCATTCCGCCGACAGCACCGCCATTTTGGACGAGTAGGTGCAGCTTGGCAAGTTGCATCGGCGAAAGCGGTTCGAGCTTTCCCTCCCGAGCTTTTTCGGGGACTTGGGAAGCTTTTATCCAAGCACTGCACACGGACCCGATAGTTCGACTTTTCCAACTGCATAGGGTCGGGAAAATTGCCTCGAAAAGCGCGCAGTCTCTTCGACTTTCCGAGGAAAACTCACTGGCTTTGACACAGCTGGCTAATCAGCACAAAATTCCCAGACCAAACGAAATTTCCCACTATTTCCCCCAACCATAAAGTCCCAGTGCTTCCGTTATTTAGGCTCCGCCTGTTAAAAAATGGCTGCGCATTTATCTGCGGCCTGCGCAGCGCAAGTGCGAGCGAGATGGCTGCTGAACGGCAGTTGTCTCGCTCGCACCCGCTTTTCCGTTCCCCTCAACGAATACAAACACAATAGAGTAGAAATACCACGGATGCGATACTGGTTTACTTTTTTTTGTTTTTTTTTCCCACTCCGCTCGTAATCCGTGCAAAACTTTAATTGGTGTTTTGCACTTCTAATGGATCCTGGGAGTGTATTAGACCCGAATCGCAACAGAAAGAGACATTTGTATACACTCGAAATCGCTCGAAACACATGTAAATGTGTGCGCACGTAACCGGGGGTTAAGTGTCCAAAGCCCAACGCTAATATTGATCTGCGATATGTGTCACTCTACGTCGCAGATTTATGGGCCCCATAGTGCCGATTTTCGGTATGGTTAAGCGAAGCAAATCCGTCAAATTAAATGTGTGCTTTACCCCACTGTTCATGGAGTGTTTTTAATTGATTTCGAAATGAACTAACATAAATAACCATTTAGTCAGTTAGTAACACACATAGATATTGCCAAATACTTTTTGTTTTAAATATTATTAATACGTTCTAACACTAATCCGTAACAGTCGATATTTATTTCAGGAAGGTTTTGTAAGACGTAGTTTCAAAATTAGACTTGTATTTTAATCTTATACATTTAAAATGAAAGAAAAGTAGTAAAAGTTAATTTAAAGCTTAAGAGTTTAAATCAGACACTTTAATACAATTGTATAGAGAAAGACCAAATAAATAAGACTTTGCAGATGCCTAACAAAGTTTAAAAATTTAAGACTTTTCAAGGTTCACTATTAGTTGGCGAGGTTTTATAGTACATCAACAGAAAAAGAAAAAAACGCCTAATATATCACTTTTAATTTACTTGTTTCGCGATTAAAGCCAGATTAAAAAGGAGGTTTTAGTTAAATAAATTCCTACAAATATTTGATTGATTTAGTTTTGATCAATATTTGGCTCTACAGTTCAATCACACCATTCAATGACTCGGAACAAAATGTAGTGCTTTAAGTTTCACGAGTGCCGTAGCAGCTTCTTATACATAAGGGATGAATTCATGCTTTAAAGTTATCAATTTATTTTTTTCCCCAGCACACACATCTTATGTGTCTCGCTCCAAATTATTTTGGAATACCAAATTGACTTGTTCGGAGCGTACTCTAAAATTAGAACCTAATTGTTTCATTTCAATACGAAACAAATTGTTTGTGTCGCGCCATTGGATGTTGGATAATTCATTTTTATTAAGAAGAGCTGTCACTTAAAGAGGGCAGACTTATCCGCATGTATTTATATTCCAGCAGGGGAAGATGAATTTGTTGTGAATATTGTGGACGACAGCTTGCTCAGCGGGCTTTTGACTTTTAGAAAAATGGGCTGTGTCAATTGAAAATCAAAGAAAAAAACAGAAATGTATACAAAGTGTATTAATATAAAATGTATTTATTTTGTAGTCAATAAGAGACTCTTAAAGCTTGAAAATAAAAATAGGCATAAATATTTATCATTGAATATTTTACTGAGTCGATTCTAGAGTAGATATTTTTATTTAAATGAAAAAAAGAAAAAAAGATTTGTGCAAATCGCGTAGCTTTTTAAATAAATACAACGATTTCACTTTTCTATAAGTTTTTGCTGCAAGATGAAGTCATAATTTACACAATAAATAATTTTCAAAGGCGAGAGCGTTTTAATATAAACCTGATTTATTACACTTAACCATAATATTAAAGAGCCTGGGCGTTACATACACTTTCAACCACTCCTCCGCCATAATCGCCCTTTGTACATTATAAATCCGACTTTGGAAACTTAGTTAATAGGCTGCATGAACTTTGCTGCACGTATAATTATGTACACGTGTTCCGGCAGGTGTGGTCCTTTGCAATGTTTACACGATACGCACACAACCAGCGACATATTGTGCCCGAAGAGCCAATCCTTGTCACACCGAATGACAATCTGTTGGAACAGTGGTAAATCAGAACTAATTTCGGGCACCGGCTCATCAGATCTCCGCCCAACCGCTGAGGTAACTGGTGGATTTCTGCCCCGAAAAGACAAGCAAAGGAGTGGACACCTCTGACCCACAACACCACTCTCTCCACCGCTTTTCCCAACGATTTTCCCCCCTTTGGAACATGCTTGAAAGACTGCTATTTAAAGTTTCAAATTTCGGACATTTGTCCGTCACGACCCCGAGTGTCAAAAACCGGTGGTGGAATGGCCAACACTCGCCCAGGATAACACACAAGGACTTTCGATGGACACACCCGCTGGCAAGCCAGGAGGATATATATAGATATATATACTTACCTACACGTATCTGGATGGCTGGCAGGCCTAAGACATCGACGTGAAGCGACGAACCCGGACGATGACACCGAAAGTCCTTGTAGTTAGCAGAATGTAGTTTGTTTGACATCTATTTAAAAGTTTAATCGGATGAGTGTAGTCCGTGCGGTTAGGCTGACCAAAACACAGTGTATTACATAGTCACTGACTTTCCGCATCGCCGCCAGGTGACCGCTCGACCAGCAGACAGGTGTTGCAATTTCGGAGATGAACTTTGGGGCGGGGCGAAGGAGCCGCCCGTCTATCCTTCAACACTAATTAGCGTTGATTCACTGCCCGAGAGCCTGGACTCCGTCCACATTATGAGGAAGGAAGAGTGGCGAAGCCTGCATCAATCCATTAGCACTTAACTCTGATTTGCATTGAAGATTTATTATTAATAGGTTTTTGAGTCCACCGGTTGTTTTTTTTCGAATTAGCATCGTTCACTTTAATTAAAAATCTATTCGCAAAATTCTTTATTTACTTATCTAGTTTTGTTTGGAATAACAATCATACGAATTAATAGAATAAAGTTAGCTTAGAGCTAGTTAAGTTCGATTTAAGGGAATTCGTCTTGAGAACTTTTAATAGTTAACAATATAATATAACTTTTTGAAATATGGAAAGTTAGTTGGTCAAACATTTTATATAAATATACATATTAATGTCCATGAAGATCCCAACTTATTAAACAAACCATTTTAGATATTAAAGGCATTTAATCAATACTGCATTTTGATTAAAGTTGCCATTTTCTTTTAGCTCTCAACATGCTTCCAAAAATTACAAAAATATTAGTTCTTTAAAAAGCCAAGTTTGTTCTTAGTGTAGCAACCAGGAAGACAATGACAGGGGGTTACACCGGTGGGTGGTTGGGCGATTCGATCGCCAGGCCGTCGCCATAGCCACTTCATTCTAGATCGGCTGTCGTATCTGTCCATCGCATTTTAATTGCCGTATTTATTCGGAGCGCCTCCGCCGACGGCCATTGGGCTGATAGCCCAATTAAGTACATACACATGGACAGGCGAAACAGAAACAGAAACAGAGAGCCAGAACTTCGATTGAGACCGAGACCATTGTCTCATCCGGCCAACTGACCACGGCCTAACTATCTATCTAACTATCTATCTATCCGGCCAGTAAGTAATTGTAGGCAAATATTTGTGTTTGCTCTTCGCCGCTATCTGAAGCGGTAACTTGAAATGCTCGAATTTGACACACTGTCCGAGTATCGGACATCGGCCATCGGACAATGGACAACAGGCTCCAGCTCCAACCCAGAACCCCCAAAAACCCACAATCCATACAATCGCTATCGATGGCCACAAAGCCAACCGCCTGCGTTCATGCGAAACTTTTAATTAAACGCCTAATAGATGTTTGTCACTCCTCCTGTGCTATCGCCGATTAATAGTTCGATTTTATTCGGTCTCGTGATCTTCCACCGTGTCATGTCCATACGCTCGGCAATTAATTTCCAGCTGGCGCTTTTCTGGAGTTGCTGTCTACTTGAAACTGAAACTGAGTTAGAACCACAAATCCCCGAATTCCGAACGAAACTTTCTGCACTTTGAACGCCGTCTGGCGTTGAACAGCGGCTTTCTTTGACAGCGATAAGCCGTGGCGCCCTGTTACCCAAAATTTAATAAAATAATATCGCAGGAAATATGAATGCATAAGCAGATAAATTTAATTTCCCCCCATCGCCGCGATTCTATCGGGTTAATTAATTGAAAAGTGCAGAAAACGCGGTCGCGTATCCAATTGTCGGAAGCGATTCAAGTAATTATCAACGGGTCTTGGTTAAATATTTCGATGATGTATGCCTAATAAAATGTGCTCTTAAACCGGTTAATATATATTTAATCAAAAGGTGGCCAAGTCCGATAAGTTCATGATTTAATTGAGTTAATTTAATTACCAGTTATATTTATACCTTTTAATAAGTCGCATAACTCGCTGCCAATTTCCGTTTCTCATTCAGTTGGAGTCTTTTAATATTTTTTTTTAATTTTTTATTGGCCTTACTGTTAAAGCCCGTTCTCAGCGTTTTTGGGTTACGCCGTTTATGTACATTTGCATGTGTGTTCTTTCGTGGGGGCTTGATCAATTAACTTTGCTGACATCGACACTGCGGAAAGTTCAGCGCTGAGGTTTCATTCAGAAAGAAGTGCAGTTCTCGGTTATTAAATATGTATGTACTGTGTGCTGCTGTGAATTAATTCCGATGACGCAGATGAAATGGGGGTTGGCATGTGGATGTGCCAAAATAATGGAAATATTTCAGCTGTTCTGTGAGCACTTTCCTATAGGGGTAGCAGATTTTCCTAAATTATTTTAAATATTATTAATAGGCGGAAATCGGATCACCCTGAAATATAGGATTCTTTTTTTAATTTCGTTATTAACATCATATCCTTTTTCATATTCCAAATTCGTCTTCTGATATGATTTTATTAAAGGGCTTCTCAAAAATCGTTCCTTAACT